GGTGGGTTAAGGGAACCATTGCTGTGGCCTCTTGTAGCATGCAGTAGTTTAGATAGTTTAGTGTCCTTTTTCTTTTGTAGAGAAGCAAAGTGTGTGTTGTAAATGGCTTGTCTAGTTTTTGTAAAGTCCAGCCACAAGGAAGTTTGTGTGGAAGGTTGGGTTTTTATGAGAATATCCAGTTTTGAGAGCTCATTCTTAATCTTTCCCTGTTTGCTGTAGAGGATGTTGATCAGGTGGTTCCGCAGTTTCTTTGAGAGCGTGTGGCACAAGCTGACAGCATAATCTGTGTGGTGTGTAGATTGTAATGGATTTTTTACCTTCAGTCCTTCTGGTATGATGTCCATCTGTTTGCATTTGGAAAGGAAGATGATGTCTGACTGTATCTGTACGAGTTTTTTCATGAAGTTGATAGATTTCCACTCCATACGGCTAAATGCAGTGCCTTGCATAATGACAGGTTTCAGAGTAGCAGAATGGATTTTTTACCTTCAGTCCTTTTGGTACACACTGGCAGAAATAATGGTTGAGTGGTAGGGCCTTGGCCTGGCCCAGACGCTACCTGCCCTGAGTTATGCCCTGCCCTGGCTGCCCCGTGTGTTACCTCGGAGGGAATCGTTCCAGGTCCAGGGAAGAGCCTTATCTGGGGAGATGCTGTACCAGACCCGCCCGACCAGGCAGGCTCCCAGGTACTCTCTGCTCGGGCTGATAAGGCTCCTTAGCACAGTTTCTTTCCAAACAAATTCCAGTTCAAGACACCTGACAGCTCCACAGCAGGCAGCATCCCCAGCGCGCAGCAGGACAGGGCTTGGGGGAGCAGTCCACAGCAGCACCTGCCCCTCCTTCGGCAGGAGCTATAAGTGCCAGCCACGTGCTGCCTCCATCTAGACGGCCTATCTGCACAGAGCAGCAGCTTTCAGCCTGGGACAGCCGTGCTGCGGGGAGGCGATGGGTAAGAGTGGGCTCAGAGAGCCAGAGGGTCTGTGGGGCAGCACAGGGCCCTTCTGCTCCGCCCTCGGGCTGAGTGGGCGTGTTCAGCTGGGATTGGAACCCACCAGCACTTGTGGGTCCGAATGTGGGGCTGGAACTCAACGCGGGGCGCTCCCACCTCGCCCGGGGGCGACTAGGGGGAAGGGCAGAGAGACACCTGGGCTGAGACTCAGAGGAGCAGAGACACCTGTTCCAGGGAGACAGAGTCTACGGCAGCCGGGTTAAACTCCCCAGCTGTGTGACAGGCCCCCCACCCCGGTATGTCACAGCAGGGCAATGTGGCCTACTGAACGGCAGGGGTTGCCAGCTGGGTTAGAGGCCTTTGGGGATGGAGGAAGCAGCACTAACGTCCATGCCAACCGCCCTATAGAGGAGGGGCCGTGCCGTGCAGGTGCGGGGCAGGGAGCTGGGACACTGCGCCGGGGGTCGTTGTCTGGCCCAGGCCCTTCCGAGCAGGAGCAGAGGCCAAGGCATTTCCTGCAGGTTACCTTCCGCTGCAGCTTGGCCATGGGTCCCCCTAGCCACTAGCCCAGCCAGGGATCCCAACTGGTGAATGTCATGGCTGGCTCCTCCCTGCCGCCAACAGCTCTTCACTGCCAGGGAATTCCTGAAATTCTGTGCACCCTTCCCCCACCCACCTCCTGGGGCTCTGAGTGCCCCTGGCCAGTCTCCCCCTCAGCCCCACCTCCCAGGGCGCTGAGTGTCCACCTAGCGCCCCTACCCCCATGATCCCCCTCCCTGGGACGCTCAGTGCCTCCCCAGTGCCCACCCTATAGGGCCCCCCCCCACCCTGATCCCCATTTTCCCTTTTTCTCACCTACTCTCCCGGTCATTTCCATGGTACAGGGGTGTCTCTGTGTGGCAAGCAGAGTGGGAACATTTCTCCAGGGCGAATCCCAAGCTCCCTTGGATCCGGCCCCCTCCTGGGTGTTTCTGTCCCAATGGGGCCAGTTCCTAGTGTCTCCTCTCTGCCCCGTGCATGCCTGGCCAATGGCCGGCTGCCCAGCCAGACTGACAGGCGAGGGCGGAGGTGCCAGTCTGTGCTGGGCGAGGCAGGAGGTTCCAGCAGTCCCAGCTCTGGGTTGTGCCGATCCCTGACAAAGGGAACTGGGAGTCGCGGCTCCTGAACGGCGGGTTTGTGTTCCCAGCTTCTCGCCAGCTCTTCCCTTTTGCAGCTGCCCGGTGCCCTCGTCTCCTGCTCCTCACTGGCCTGCTGGCCCTGTCAGCCCCAGATTTCACCCTGGAAATACACAATCTGAACATCTTAAAGGGACCCACCCGTGCAATCCGGAACATCCACCCAAAGGACCTGAAGGCAGGTGTGTCATGTGTCTGCTTTTTAAGCTCTCACCCCTGGCCCTAGGGGTCCTGCCAGCCCTGGGGCCCCAGAACTTCACTCACTGGCTGCCTGGGGATTATGGAGGCCTGAAGCCAATGAGAGAAATTACATCCAGCCGTAGCTCTACATTCAAACCACGCTGAGCTCTTTGGCAGTTGGAGGGGGAGGGCGGTTGGGGGGCGCGCAGGGGCTGGGCCGTTGCAGTGCAGGGAGCAGCAGGACAAAGCCAGGAGGTGCTGGTTGCCTTGGGCAGCAGAGGGGCATGGAGGAGTGGAACTGGTGCAGCGCGGGCCCGAGCGGGGCAGGGGGCGGGCGGGATGAGATGGGGGTGCTCAGGCAGCAGGGTGACTGGTGCAGTATTAACACAGAGCTCGAGCTAAGCAGGGCAGGGCTGTGCAGCCCTCGAGGGGAGGTGCAGGAGCTGGAAGCTGCTGCAGGAGTAGCTGTGCAGCCAGGGAAGCGACTGGAAGCCACAAGATGGTGTGGGCAGAGCCACAGGAGCAGACGGGGAGGTTGGTGGCTGCATTTGGGCCAGACTGGAGGGGAGCAGACGGGAGCCAGGTAGAGCAGCCAGGGGGAGCCTGGGTTAGTCTAAGGTGTGACATCCCCACTAGACGGATCAGCTGGCTCTGCCTTTGTAGCCCTGATTAGCTACACAGGATGGGCACACAGGAGAAGCTGACCTCCCGCCCTGTCCCTTAGAGCCCTGGCTGGCTGGAGAGCTGGCAGGAAATCCTGCCTCTGCCGCCTGCTGCCAGCCCTTCTCCTGCCCTTCAAGAAGGGGCTATCGGAGAGACATGTGCTGCCCCGCAGGGACACGGGGAGCTGGGAGACGGGCCCAGGAACCAGGGAGCTGCCCTGTGCATGTGGATGTAACCCTTCTGCCTGTCAGAGTTGGCAGCAACAAGGGCCGGGTTCAGTATCTAGGGGTTCCACTCCAATAAGACAATGCAAAGCCGGCTCGAGCCCCCACCCAGTGACCTGGGACAAATATATACCACCCCCGCTGGGCGCCTCCAAGAGGCACTACGTCCCCTCTCGCAAGCGCATAGTCTGAGTGTAGCAAAAAGCCTTTTAATTACAGAGAAACAATGTGGCATTATGTTGGAGAAACACCACCGACAGGATTCATAATACAACCCATGAGCAAAAAACCCACCCCAAGCAAATTGGGGCATGTTCTTTCCCTTTGGTTCTTGAGTCCAGCAACCCAAAATCACCCAAAGTCCCAAAAGTCCAACGACCCAAAAGTCTCTGTCCCTGGTCAGGGCAGCCCCAGAGTTCGAAAGTTTGTCTGCAGAGTTTTACCTCCCAACCTGGGTGGAGATTTGGGGGGGGGGAGGGTTTAAGGGGCACCTTACGTGGTCCAAAGCTGATTGCCCCACCTCTCCATGGGGCTCCGCTCTGCCAACCACCCCATGAGCTGCTCTAGGCATCCGACAAACTGCTCTGCTCTACCAGCCGCTCTGCTCCACCATTCATCTTCAGGCTCCCCCACTACTTAACACAACACTCAAAGATTTCAGCTCTTAGTCAGTTCAGCTCCTTTGCAATTTCAGCTTGTAGTAGGGGAGCCTCAGTGCTGGTGCATTATTAGCCCAAAGTGAAATCAGCTCAGCAGCCTGTAACTAGACTCCTAATAGAATCAAAATTAGCTCTGATATTCCACAGTGGAGAGAGGAGGAAGTGCAATTAGCATGTAAGGCACTCAGGGGGGGGGGGGGGGCATGCCACCAAGTATTAATACCTGTCCCCAGCCTCTCTCAATTCACAGAGAATTGGAACCCATGACCCTTGCCTAGCGATTGTTACTTAGTTGATGGCGAGTCCCTCCATCATAACAAAAGGCCAAGTACAGTTCCACTGTCCTTGATTCCCATAATCAGGGTAATAACAGTTTATTCTTCCTGCCCCAATAACAGAGACACTGGGGATCCCACAGCAGCCAAAGTGACCATTTGGGCAGCTATGGCCTCATTCTAGGCGGGGTGGGTGTGCCTATGCACATGAGATCAGCCCCTGAAGTTCTTTTCCACAACTTGCCACACCTCACCACCAGGTGTCAGGTTGGAGCTCATCCTGACTCTGCTTACATGCGAATGGGCCCTGGCCCAAAGGGAAGGAGCCTGTTGGTGCCTGATGCAGGCAGAGTCTATCAGTCCTCTGGGATTGGTGCCCAGCCCCCACATGCTGATGGTTCTTGGCAGTGACGCGGGGCTGTGGCCAGGCTGAGGGGGGTACCAGGCTAGGTCTCTGCTCTGGAGGGATTCTGGGTGAATTCCTGCCTCTCTGCGGGTGTCAGAGTTTGGAGCAATCCAGCAGGGAGAGGAGCCCCAGTGCCCAGCATATAACTGGGGCCAACAGCTGGGCCAGCAGAGGGACAGAGAGGCAAATGCACTCTCACAGGGGTGAGAGCCAAGGACATCCCAGGGGTTGTTCACACAACTGGTGGCGCATGCAGGTAGCTTGGACACACACACACACACCCCGAGCTCACCTCCAGGACCCCTCCACCCAGCCTGATCTGGCCAAGATGCAGGGTGCTATTCCTCGGTGGAGGAGTTGGAAAGGAGGCCAAGGAAAGGTTTTATGGAAACTCCATTGTGATCATAACTCTGAGCTGAGTCTCTGAGCGGGGTTTTGTTCTCTACAACTTGTCTCGTTTTGCCCACAGCCTGGCCCAAGGACTGCAGCGAGATAACCTGGAACAGGGTCAGTGGCGTCTTCGTCATCCAGCCCACAGGACTCCATCAATTCGAGGTCTATTGTGACTTGAACAGCACCAGCGAGGGCTGGACGGTCCTCCAGCGGAACCGGCGTGACACACAGATCACCTGGGCTGAGTCCTGGAGCACCTACAAGTACGGCTTTGGCAACGTGCACAATGAGTACTGGCTGGGGACGGAGTACATCTATCAGATCGCCAAGCAGAAGGTCTACCAGGTCAGGTTTGTCATCCATGATTCATCCGGCACCATGAAATACGCAGACTACAATCTCTTCGGTCTGGAAGACGAGTCCAAAGGCTACAGGCTGAGGCTGGGCTCTTACACTGGGACTGCAGGGGATGCCATGACTTCAAACAATCCTAGCACTGTGCATGACAACATGAAGTTCTCCACTAAAGACCTGGATCAGGACACTTACAGTGGGAACTGTGCATCTAGCTATGGTGGGGGCTGGTGGTACTCGGCTTGTTATTCTGCTCGACTGAACGTCAAAGGGAGCATCACTTGGGGTAGTGTCTGTAGTGGGAACTGCCAAGCCTCCGCCATCCTCATCAAACCAGCATCTTACTGTTAGTGACCCCTTCCCCACCCTCCTGTCTGCAGTGAGGCCAACCCCTGCTCCACGAAGGGATGGAAAAGGGTCATAGGGTGTCATGGCCAAACCTCCTGCCTGCCCTCACAGGCCTTGCTTGGGGAAAGTATCAGGGTTACCCAGGAAACGAGGCCACTTTCCTTCTCCTCTCCCTTCCTGCAGACTTTCCGAGCTCTTCTCTGCTGGGCCTTTCTCCGCTGGGCTGACTCCCGTGCACCAGCATTCAGCCTGGAGTGACTCTTCTGGGTTATTTTAGCTCAGCGATGCAAAGAGCAGGCCTAGAGATCGCTGGAAAGGCAAAATCCCAAGCACGGCGGGAGCTTCACAAACACCCTCTGCATGGCCCTGCCTGGGGATCCAGGCTTTGCAATAAACACACACTTCTAAGCAGTGAGGTCTGCAGCTGGTAACTCTGTGCCCCACTGTCACTATCTCTCTGGGTGCTCCCATGGGCACCACACTGCTGGAGAACATGCCTGGCATTACCAGATTCACAGACAGGGCGTGCAGGGCTGCTGGGACGGGCCCTTTGCTCCCCACTTCATCAAGAGTAAGTCTGCAGGCCACCAGCCCTTCTGTTTTGGGGGTGGGGGAGAGAAGGAGAGACTGGGGCCAGAGGGATTTTCTGGGGGAGGAGAAGGAGGAGATGTGAGGGGGAGGACAGACTTGGGCCCTTAGTGCTGGGAGAGAGGAGTCCTTGGGCCTCCGGACCACATCCAGAGAGCTTGTGGGGCAGAGGCAGCGTCCATCCCACTCCCACCGCAGGCGGAGCCGCTCCTCAGCCTGAGACTGAAGGCTCTGCCTGCAGCTCTGCCTGGCCAAGTGCAGACCCCTGGGCACTGGGGCTGCTGGAGCTTGCCTCACACCAGGGCATCCCGTGGCAGCCCCCATCTATGGGCTATCACACTAGGCCTAAATGCTGTGGCCAGGTCCCTGGACTCTGCAGCACTTCGTTTAAATTAAAGAATGGTCCCCAGGGGCTGGTGCCAAGAGCATCTTCGTGGGGTAGGACCCTGCTGGCCGGAGCCATGTGGCAGCTGGGACCAGGTGGGGAGGCCCCAGACCACTGAGCTGGATGCACCCCACTGCTTGTGTGGTAAGATGCAGCCTATTTCCCCAGCTAGCATATGCTCCCATGGCAGCTTGCACACTAGTTAGCTAGGAGTCTGGCCACACCCCTTGGCAGAGGACAATGCTCCTGTGATGGCCCGCAGGCTTGCTGCAAGGACTGGTCCTTTTCCCTAGTGCTGTCTGGGGCCCAAGGTAGGAACCCTGCCCCACTCCTGCACAGACAGGCGGAGGGGGGGGAAGAGGCTCCGTGGTGCTCCCATGCCACCTGGCACAGGGCCTGGCTCTTCATCTCTACATCTGTCCAGCCCCCGCAGTCAGCAGGGCCCAGTTCTCTGAAGGGATCGGTACCCCGTCCCTCGGCATCACCGTGGAGCTGCTCCATGTGACACCATCATTCAGCTTGTGCCGATCAATCATTTCACAGGAAACGTTTGAAAATGCTCTGGTTTGAAGCTCCCCAGCTCACTTCCAGTGCAGGGCTCCTGGCTGGCCCCTGCCTGTCACCACGGGCAGCTTCTCGCACTCCCCTCAGCCCACACAGGGGGGGACTGGGACCTGGGACGTTAGACATAGTGGTCTGGCCAGCAAAATCCCTGCTCTTTGTTCCCAAGCCGCACCCAGCACTGATGCCAGTCACGTTCCCAGGCCGCGAGGTTACACGCAAGCTGCCAATGGAAAAGGGGCACGTTCATCTTCCCCCTTCAGCAGCAGTGTCTGATAACCTCTGTGCCCTGCAGAGCCACTGGGGCCGGGGTGCTGGCTGGGCAGCACGGGGCCTGGGCTGGGCCCTGGGAGACAGGCCATGGGCGGAGCAGGGGTGGGGGCAGACAGGGTTAAGCAGGGCTCTGGAAATCCGGGAGGAGGATGTCTGTGTGAGGGGGATGGATGGGGGAGCCTGACTGTGGGATTGGCCTGATCTGGGAGTCTGGGCTGGGCAACAGTGACTGTCTCCACAGCAAGGCAACTAGGGCTTCCCATGGGGCTGTGCCAGCAAACAGAGGCTGCAGCTTCAAGCACCCATGCACGGGGCTCCCCAGAACCACAGGCTGCCCCCACAGCCCTGGTCCAGTCCCCCAGACACTCCTCCCCCAATACTCTTCTCTTCCATAATTCCCCTTACCCCGATCACCACCTTGGCCCCACATTCCCAGTCACCCCGCCCGGCTCCCCAGCACCCCTGCTCCCCTCCCCTCTGTGCTGCTGTGACCATGGCACAGGAGAGTGTGCTCTTAGCTGGCTGCTCCATGGGGTTGACATAACTATAAAGGGAGGGGTAACCACCTGTCTGCATACAGGGCTACAAAATCCCCCCTGGCCAGAGGCAACACCCTTTCACCTGTAAAGGGTTAAGAAGCTAAGGTAACCCTGCTGGCACCTGACCCAAATGACCAACGAGGGGACAAGATACTTTCAAATCTGGAGGTGGGGGGAAACAAAGGGTTCTTCCATCTATGTGATGCTTTTGCTGGGAACAGATCAGGAATGCAGCCTTACAACTCCTGTTAACTTAGTAAGTAATCTAGCTAGAAATGTGTTAGATTTCCTTTTGTTTAATGGCTGGTAAAATAAGCTGTGCTGGAGGGAATGTATATTCCTGTTTTTGTGTCTTTTTGTTACTTACGGTTTTGCCTAGAGGGATTCTCTATGTTTTGAATCTGATTATGCTGTAAGGTATTTACCATCCTGATTTTACAGAGGTGATTCTTTTACCTTTTCTTTAATTAAAATTCTTCTTTTAAGAACTTGATTGATTTTTCATTGTTCTTAAGATCCAAGGGTTTGGGTCTGTGTTCACCTGTACAAATTGGTGAGGATTCTTATCAAGCCTTCCCCAGGAAAGGGGGTGAAGGGCTTGGGGGGATATTTTGGGGGAAAAACGTCTCCAAGTGGGCTCTTTCCCTGTCCTTTGTTTAAAATGCTTGGTGGTGGCAGCATATGGTTCAAGGACAAGGCAAAGTTTGTACCTTGAGGAAGTTTTTAACCTCAGCTGGTAAGAATAAGTTTAGGGGGTCTATCATGCAGGTCCCCACATCTCTACCCTAGAGTTCAGAGTGGGGAAGGAACCTTGACAGGGGCACTGTCCTGCAGGGAGCTTTGCCCAGCTGGCAGACAGTTTGTGGCTCCCACACGCTGTCTCTGTGTCTCTCACGACATCATTCATCTAGCAGGGATGAGGAGCAGCTTGTGGCTGTGGTCAACATGTGATTGTGCTTCAGTGCCCCATTGGCCTGTGGTTTGGGGTCCAGCCCTGCCAGCATCTCCTGAAAACTTACAGGAGCCAAACTCCCTCCAGGCCAACCATCTTTGTGGGGTCTGTCCCCTCGGGGGTGGGGGGGAAGGACAGCCCAGGATCGCTGGGCCATGAGGCTGGGGTCAAGTCAGAACATTGGTTATATGCCCAGTGCTCGTCCCTTGGCTGACAGATCCAGGGTGTGCCCAGAGCAGGATGGGTCCAGGGATGGGCTCCATGGGGACAGGAGATCACATGCGCATGTGTCCCTGGCACTGGTCACACAGAAGCTGAACTCTCCGAGGATAACAAACTTGCGGGATTCCAACCCCGGGCTCAGCAGAGGGGCCATTAGACCCTGTGGGACACAAGCAAATCCGCAGCATGGACCCACCCAAAGGCCAGAGGACAGATAATGATAACACGACTCAGACTGTAATAACAGCAATCCATGACATCTTCCTACTGCAGCATTACCCGGAGGCCCCAGCGTCACGGAGTGTGGAGGAGCCAGGGCCCTGCACCCACCACTTCCTGCAATTCACGGTGACTCTCAACTAGCCAGTAAAACAGAAGGTTTATTAGATGACAGGAACACAATCCAAAACAGAGCTTGTAGGTACGGAAAACAGGACCCCCCAGTCAGGTGCTGGGCCTCCCTCTGTTTCCCCAGTCAGATCCAAACTGAAACTCTCTCCAGTCCCTCCTCTGGTCTTTGTCTCTTTCCTGGGCAAGAAGGCCACCTGATCTCTTTGTTCTCCAACACCTTCAGCTGTCACCTTGCAGGGGAGGGGCCCAGGCCATCAGTTGCCAGGAGACAGGGTGTCGGCCATTCCCTGTGTCCAGACCCCTGCACACACCTGCCCTCTAGGGCTCTGCAACAATCACACCCTTATCCCATCACCTAGATACTTAAGAAATGCATAGGTGTAAACTGAGGCACCCACACAGTATTCAGAGAAACCATGAAGAACATTCCCACTTTGTCACACCCAGTCTGGAGGCAGGGTGCCTAGGACTGGGCACTGCACCCCCAGTGACAAGAAGGGAACTCACGATCTAGGGGTCACAACACCCCACACCGGGCAGATGAAGTAGGTAAAAGGGGTGGGGATGGTGATGGGGTGCAGGAAAAGGTTAAGGAAGCTCATTTAGCACAGGAGGCTGGAGTC